TGAAATAAATTCTAGTGGTTTGGCCGAAATTTGAACAAATCAAACCTTAAATTTCAATTGCTTTTAAGCCTCAAAATTGTGTGAATGCTCCTCCTCTGCAGCTAACTTGCTCCCCCTCTTTCCAACAACGACATACCTTGTGTAATCCCACAAGTGGGGTTTTGAGAGGGTATGATGTATGCAAACGTTACCCTACCTTTGTGTGGTAGAGAAACTATTCTCAATAGAACCTTGGCTCAAAAGGAAAGTATCCGACGTAGGATTATAAGAAAAGAGCTAGCGAAGTAGCAAAATACAAAACAAATGCAACAGGAAATAGTAATACACATTGAAGAACAAGAAGCTATGTGATAACTAAATAATACTACTAAAAGGACAAAAGGAGAGGGGGAGGTTAGCCCACTCTCTCTCCCACACAGAATGTGACAACATCCAACTACCTGCTAGCCTTCTATCCTAATCTTCAAGACCTCAACTTTGATATGATAGATCCTTCTATATATGACACCCCATTGATATTATGTCTTCTGAATTTAACCGGATAGTATTTTTCTTATTTGCTTCCCATGTGAGTTAACCGGATAGTATTTTGCATATTGCAAGAAGCAATATGCACCCATTGCCTCCAAAATAGTGTGTCACTGGCCAAGGAACTCTGAGACATACATTTGCTTCTACTGCTATTTTATCTGTGGTTACTTGTTTCCTAAAGTTACCTTTCTTTGGGCACTTTTTCATGTTTTTTTCATCCATTTGGACCTCTGTTGAATGTTTTTAGATATGAAGCAAAGCTAGAAAACAGTACCTCTGACTAGTTGACTCAAAGGAGACAACCGCAAAACGCCTCTAAGGTCTATTGGGGCTTTAAGTGCAAAGCGCAAATAAAGCGTGACCTTTAATGAAGAAATGCACAAATGGAGAAAACATACAAATATGTATGTGTAGTCCGGTTAATTTCATGAAATAGAAAAATTAGATATTGGCTAAGAGATATACTTAAGATCTGAAAGCATGAAAACATGTTAGGGATAATGCATTAATTCTGGAAAATTAGGTGAGACGACCAGCTTTTGGGCCTGCTATCAGATCTTAGTCATTGTTTGAAAAGTAGTACTCCCTCTGTCTCAATTTGTGTGAAGGTGTTTGACTAGGCATACAGTCTCAATTTATGTGAAGGTGTTTGACTAGGCATGAAGTCTAATACTTATAAGCATGAACCGAAAGTATATAAACAAAGAAATTGAAAAGTATGTCTTAGAAGCTTCATGACGACACCACACGTTAAGCGAGGCGAAACACTCAACATGTTTTGCACCTCTGACAACACTGGTTAAACATTCATAGTTGATTATGCTTTGGTATTGTAAAACATTGGATCACATAATTAAGGTCCTTAGGGTTTGGACTGTTTCTTATTGTAGTACAATATGGTTTGCTCTTTAGGTAATAGTTCACTGAAAGCACTAATCAGGAGAAACATGTGTTAGGTGAAATTGCTTTCTTACCATTTGACAACTCTTATCTCACTTCTTATATGGTTCTTTTCTTCTTTTTCAATCCATAGATTACATTACATTCGAAATTTCAAAAATTTGCTAATTATTTTCAAATTATCCTCATTTCTGGAAACAGTCAATGGAGCACGGTTCATTCGAAGATCAGTCAAAAGCAACATTCTCGCTGACAGATGAGGACCATACACTGGCAAATGCTGTTAGATTCACTCTAAATCAAGAGTTAGTAATTCATCTCGTCCTCTTTCCTTTCTTCTTTCATTATGCAGTGATCACTGCAAGTACTAATATAAACCATCTTCTAGAATTTTGCTTGAAGATATATTACTCAACTCGTCATGTAGATAGCCTCCTTATCTCATTTTGTTACATTCCACTGATCTTATGTTTATGTTGTTGCATGGTCTGTCTGCCACTCTCTGGCCCCCCTCCCCCTCTCTCTTTTTTCTTAAGAGTGGTTTATGAAACAAACTTAGGGCAATGATTAACTTATGTCTATTTTCTTGCAGTCCTAGAGTAACATTTTGTGGTTACAGCATTCCACATCCCTCTGATGCTCGAGTGAATATAAGAGTTCAGACTACTGGTAAAGCTTAAATATCTAGATATTTCTACAACTTGTACAAAAAGAAAACCTTATATTTTTTGATTTTTTAAAAACTTATCTTATCTATCACGGGAATATGCATCCTGCTTCCACATTAACATAACATGCTTGATACTAGCTAAAACTTTCATCATGAACTTTTTAAATAGCTGTTGGACTTTCTGGCCAGTTGGTTTTGGTGGAGAATATATTGTGATGCCCTTCCCATTAAAAATTCGCCTTTTTCTTTCAGCTTATTTGATCTGGCTCATGCAGTAGATTGTGGTGTTAGATATTTCTACAACATGCCTATGTACATAGTATGATAATTTTTTTCGATAACCGTGGTGTCCGGGCTAGTTTAAGCGCACCTCGACTAAGTCCACGGAATACCTATCAGCTATCACCTCCCACCAGCAACAAGTACACCAACCTCTGTCCACCTCGGCTAGGATATATGGGAAAAAATCGTTTACTGTTTTTTGTCTCTGCTGGGATTTGAACCCTCATGGTTCTCAACATACTTTATTGAACACTAAGCCACACCCTTGGGTATATTGTACATCGTATGATAGGACCGCTTGGAAATCCTTTAGAACAATTTGCAATAGTCTTTTTATGCTTCCATATGTTTATACCCTTCTATTCTGAGAAATGTTGTGGATCTCTGTTTGTGTTTTGGTACATCAAGATTTTATGCAACTTTTAGTGGTCTTCTATTGCAGGGGATCCAGCAAGAGAGGTATTTAATGATTCATGTCAGGATCTAATGCTTATCTGCGAGCACGTTAGAGGCACATTTGATCAGGCTGTTTTAAAGTTTAAAACCGGAAAAGGTCTGAGAGCTATGGATATCAAGAAATGATTTGACTAATAGTTTATATAGCCTTCTATAAATGTGAATTTTTTTCCCGTTTTGCAAACACTGAGGAAACTTTTAAATGTAATTGTTCCATTTATTTGGTGCATTAAGTTTCTTTTTTTGCAAAACCATGCTAAAGAATGCACCTTGGGTTGTATGGAAATATTAATCTGCACATTGGTTGTTGTAAGTAATAATTTTGTGTTCTAGTTTATGTGATAGTGAATCATAGATCTCTTATCTGCTTGCATTCATGCGCGTATTGTCTCAGTTTGTGCATTATGAACTCCATCCATAGAAACCTTAGTATGTAAATGAGGCCTACAAGTTATCAAATTTGGTTGGCCTTTGTATATATCCCTTTGTTTTTAATTTGCTATTCTTTAGTTGTTACGTAGAGTGACCTTATCTTCTGTTAATTTAATCGTGTAAGCCATCTTTCCATTTGGTCCAAGAACTAAGAGCACCCTTAGGGGTCGTTTGGTTTGAAAATGAGTTATGATGGGATAAGTTATGTTGGGATAAGTTATGTTGGGATTAGTTATGATGGGATAAGTTGTGTTGGAATTATTTTTTATTGAGTGTTTGGTTTGTTGTATTCAAAATAATAAATTTTAAGAACAATTTATTTGTTTACAAAAATGCCCTTCATTAATGTAAAAAGTGATATAACAAAAGGGTTGAAAGAGACATTTTTATCATTTACCTATTTTATCCCGGGATAAGTTATCTCGGGATTACTATACCACCCAAGGAGAGGGATAACTTATCCCGGTACTAATTATTAATCCTGGGATAAGTTATCCCGAACTTGCCAACCAAACAACAAAATAAGCAGTACTATAATTTAATCCCGGGACTATTTGGTATTATCCCTCATACCAAACGAGCCCTTAGAGAATGTGCTTGAAGGCTAGTGGTCATATTAGTTGGTGTCTGAGAAATACTTTTTGTAGATGATTGTGATGATAGAGGTGGTTAGTGACGATGATTTCATGGTAGAGTTGGTTGATGCTAGTAGTTGGGGGTGTTGCTTGCTAAGGAACGTGTGGTAGTTGATAATGGTGTTGTTGGTAGTTGGAGGTGAAGCTAGTTGTGATGGTGCAGATGGTTGATATTAGGGATTGATTGCAGTGGGGGCAATATTGATAGTGGTGACATTGGTGATGGCAATTGCAATACTGGTGGTGGCGTTGAAAGTGGATATAATTATAATGATGGGGTGATCGATACGATAGCGAGTACCAACAGATGACAACAGTGGTGGTTGTGATAACAAAGGTGGTGGTGACTAACGGTGGTTGTGATGACAAAAATGGTGATGGTAGGTTGTGGTTGTGGACAAAGTGATGGTGAAAATTAACTACATAAAAATACCTCTAAATGATATTAAAACTTTGCTGAAGATGTTAATGATTAAGACCTATTCAGACCAAATTAGTGCTTAAATCTTAATGTCCTAAGGTCTGAACCATTCAAATTCAGACCTTCATCAAGTGCAAACAGATGAAGCCTAAATCATTCTTCTATCAAGCCTATATAAACTTGTAATCTGCCCAGATGTAGCTCGACATTAGAAGTTTCATGATTGAATCTTGATGATGCAGCAAATTACAAAAGTGTAGCTTACCATCAGCTTTCCTAAAAGTCATATATAGTGAGAAGACCAGCATTTGTGGGGATCGATTATTTCGAATTCTCTGAGAAGTTTCACTATGGGGTTAAAGCGCTCTTTACAAAAGGAGACTTTATTATCAGAGTTCGAATGTGAGACATTTGGTGGGATACTACTCAACCTCTAGTGACTATAAATTGTAAAATGTTGTTGAAGATTGAAATATCATATTCCATATTCAAAGTTATGTAGAATTCTTTGTAGTCATTGGAAACACCACAAACACTCACTTTTGACGTCCATTTATCATCAAAACTACATATATCAAGAAAATTAAACACACTTAAGTACTTGAGCAAAATTGAAAGATTAGCGTAACTAGCATAGGTAATTTGATAACATGAGCATACGGTCTGATTCCATCTAGTGCCGACTAATAACAAGTTGTAGCCTAATCATTTTCAGTGTTGAAAGAGCATATTTCATGCTAATTCTTGCATCAGGTGTCACTAAAGTGCAACTCAAAGCTAATTCCATGATAGATAACAAACATTGCAGCTTTGCATCAATATGTTCATCCCCTGACTGTACCAAATAGTAATCCACCACCTTATGAATTCCAGTTGGGAAGGAATTACTAACCCAACGTTGTATGCTCAATTCTCCGGTAAATATTTCATCACTTGGTCTCTTTCTTGTGAATGTCTCCATTATCAGGGTGCCAAAACTATAAACATCACAGCTCGTGGATACTATTCCATCTTGTCCATACTCTACAATCATGGTAAAAAATGATCATAATAGAATTGAGAATATTAATCTATATCTAGAGGAAATAATTGTTTGGAGTAGTTAAACGATATCAGAAAGATTTTGAAGTTTCTAATATACCTGGAGCAATATATCCAATGGTTGAAATTGTCCTTGTTTGGACAAAAGCCTCCCCTTCACCTAGCAATTTCGCAATGCCAAAATCACTGACATGACCAACCATTTCCTGATCTAGCAAGACATTACTTGGCTTCAAGTCACAATGAACCACAGGCGTTGTATGACCATTGTGGAGATAGTCAATTGCAGATGCAACATCTATCATTATATCCAATCTCTGTAATAAGTTCAAGAACAAGTTGTGGGAGTATAACCATTTATCAAGTGTCCCATTGGGCATGTATTCCAACACCAGGGCCTTGAAATCAAGGTTTGCACAGCTTGTAATAACTTTGGTCAGATTTCTGTGGCGAAGGTTGCGGAGTATCTCACATTCAGTGTCAAAACTTTTGAATGCACCCTCCAATTGCACATTGAATACCTTTGCTGCCAAAAGAGTACCATCCTTAAGTATCCCTTTGTAGACCATGCTAAAACTCCCTGTACCAAGCAAGTTGCTTTCGTCGAATCCTTCTGTTGCATGTTCAAGTTCATAATAGGAAATTCTTTCATGTTCTTTTACCAGACACACATCTGCTTGACTTGCATTCTTCTTTGTCTTTCTCAATCTTAACACCACATATCCAACTACCAACACAAGGAGTGACACAATCCCTAACAGCGTATATAAACCTATAAGCACTCTTTTTCTTCTTGACTTCTTTGTAGATTTGGTTTGACAAGGTTTTACGTTAAACCGGGAGTCACCACAGAGTGCATAATTGGACAAGAAAGATTGACTAGGGACATTTGCAAAAGGACCGCTAATGGGAATTTCTCCACTGAGTTTATTGAATGAGAAATTCATGGATTTGAGATACACTAGAGCTTCTAATGACTTTGGAATTTCACCACTAAGATTGTTATAGGACAAATCCAAGAATTCCAATGCCAACAATTTGCCAAATGATTCTGGAATAGGCCCCTCTAATCTATTATGTGCTAGAGAAAGATCAATCAATTCAGCTAGACCTCCTAAAGTGCTAGGAATTTTACCAGAAAAATCATTTTTTGACAAATCAATTAGTGTCACTGCCTTTATATTTCCCAACTCCAGAGGAATATGATCACTTAATGAATTGGATGAAACATTGAATTCTATAAGGTCTTGAAGGTTCCCCAAGTTTGCAGGTAATCTAGAATTCAGCCTGTTGTAAGCTAGATTAAGATACCTCAAACTAGTTACATTCCCTAAGCATGAGGGTACCAAACCAGAAAAATGATTTCCTGACAAGTCTAATACACCAAGATTCTTTAAACTGCATATAACATTTGGTATGGTACCTTTAATCTCGTTACTATGTAGATAAAATTCTTGGAGGTTCAACATGCCTTGGACAGTTTTTGGAATATGTCCGGTCAACTCATTGTTATACAGATCAATCCTTGTCACTCCAGTAAGATTACCAATTTCTCGAGGAATGACGCCATTTAGCTTACAGTCATTTCCTTGAAAATTATTCAGCGAGTGTGAAAAATTACCAACAGACGGTGATAAAGCCCCATACAATGCATTCTCATAAAACCGGAGTAGTCTTAGTTTCCTACAGTTTGTTAATGATGTAAGGAAGCTCAATGATGGATCGCTGATAAAATTATTCCCCTGCAAGTTAAGAATCTCAAGGTATTCTAAGTTACCAAGTGATTTAGGAATTGGACCTGTGAAACTGTTTCCTGAGAGTTCAAACTTTGTGAGTCTTGAGGAATTTGAGATTGAAGCAGAGATAAAACCACTTAGATTATTTTCTGCACAAAGAAATATTTCTAGGTTGGGCATTCCACGACCTAAATCTGAAGGTAGAGTACCTGAAAGCTTGTTTAGTCCAAAATTTATCGTCTGCAGTGCTGACATGTTGAAAATGCTGTCAGGGATAGAGCCAGTTAGCTCATTATGTGATAAATCCAATACCTGAAGTTTCTTAAGATTACCTAGCTCCATTGGTATCTCTCCTGTCAATTGGGGGAAATATATGAGTTACCAGTTTAGCGGAAGAGAGAAAAAGGAAGAAAATTTTCATTTTTCTTGTAATGAAATATCATATTACCTTCCAAATGCAGAACTCCGAGATATAATTGTGTAAGAGCTGTTAAGTTTGCCAGCTCTCTTGGTACAATTCCAATAAACTCATTGAAAGACAATGACAAAATTTGAAGTTTTTGGCATTTCTCCAGGTTTGGTGGAATAACTCCACCTAGGGAGTTTTTTGAGAGGTGAAGCCCATTCAAGTATGGAAGATGGTCGCATAGAGTTATTGGAAGCTTTCCAGTAAGATTGTTATCGTTAAGAACAATGATTTGCATTGTGGTAATGTTAAAGATTGATGATGGTATAGAGCCACTAAGGTGATTATATTGCAGATCTAGGATAGTCAAGTTACGAAGATTACTGATTTCTTGAGGGATCTCTCCCTCTAAAAGATTTCTCCGCAATTTCAACTCTTTCAGCTTTGTTAGATTGGAAAGGGAAGTTGGAATTCTCCCCGAAAATTGGTTGCTCGATAGGTACACAAAGCATAGATTCGGTAACAAACTTAAAAATGATGGAATGGCTCCGGTGAAGTTATTGCTTGCGACATCAATCACTTTCAACCTCTGCAAACGAGCCAACTCTTGTGGCAAATCTCCATGAAAAGCGTTAATACTGATGTTGAGGGAAACAAGAAATGAGAGGTTTCCAAGGTGTGGAGGAATGGTACCATGAAGTTGCATGCTAGAAATGTCTAAAGCAGTGACTCGATGGTGGCGGGAGCTGCAAGTGATTCCAATCCAGCTGCAAACCGGGGTTGAAGAAGACCAGTTGCTTGCTAAGATGTTGTTAGTATGAGAAGAAATGTGTGATTTAAGTGCAAGAAGAGCAACTCCATCAGGGCTAATATTAGCAAGTGAAGTATGGTTAAGAAGCAGAATGAAAAGTGAAAGTTGAGCAAAGAGGAGAATATAACTTGTGTCCATAACTATGGCAAGAAGAATTGATAATGCAAAGCAATGATGTTAGAAGACCTATTTAATCATATCAAATTCATTGGTTAAGAGTGTTTTTGGTCAACAGTCAACAGTCTTCTCTACATTGCCATCCATAAACACTCAAAATATAAGCTAACAGTCGTTGATGTTTTCCTAAATTTTCTTCAAATATCTCTTAGAAATGTACAGTAAATCTGTATCATTACTTTTCATCTGAGAAATATAATTAAAATGACGAAAAGTCTCGGCCGATTTAGTGCGAGTATAATCTCATTTTTTTTTTCCTTTTCTCATTTTGTCTTTACTTAATATTTAATAATTCTATTTTATCATTCATCCTTCCTTTTCTATAACTACTTTCTGGACACGTACTTTAAAACTTGAATGCGAAATTTTCAGTCTTAAAAAATTAAAAAATAAATATAAAATTTAAAAACAAATAAAAACTATATATATTATTCTAAGAACATAAACTTTAATTGAAGATATATTATTTAAATTATATAAAACAAAGTTCAATTAAAGAATTAAAGATATATAAAAGAAAATAAAACAAATTTTAATTAAAGATAGATAAGGAAAATATATTTTTAAGAAAAAGAAAACAAAAAAAATGGAATTAGAAATAAATGACAAATCAAATTCTATTTATATAAAAAAAAATACAATTCTTATAAAGTTATAACAATTAACTTTTTATTCTAAGAATATAAATTTTAATTAAAGATATATTAAAGAAAAGAAAACAATCTTCAAGTAAAGATATATAAAAGAAAATAAAACAAACTTTAATTAAAGATAGATAAGGGAGAAAAAAGGGAATTAGAAATAAACGGCAAATCAAATTTTATTTATGTAAAAAAATGCAATCCTTATAAAGTTATAATAATTAAATTTTGAAATAAATAAATAAAAAGTACAAAGAACAAAGAAAGGAAATAAGTGATTTGAGAAAATGATATGAATAGCATTAATGATGAGATTAAAAAAAGAAAATTTAAAAAATTAATAGCATCAATGATTAAAGAATTTAAATATGATCATATTTGATATTCTATAAAATTTTAAGGTAAAATTTTCTCTTTTAAAAAATAGGAAAAACACAAAAAAAAATTAGAAAAATAAATACACAAACTTCCAGATTTAATTTTTAGCAATTATTTTAAGAAAATATAAGAGAAAATGAAAAAAAACATTTGACAAACAATAAATAAATGGGACAAGGCATAAGTATCCCCTAGACTATGACCGAAATCTCAGTGACACACCTAAACTTAACTAGGGTCCTATTACCCCCTAAGCTAATTTAAAATGGAATAAGTACACCACAAACGCTGACATGACATAGAGAGTGTGCACACTTTCTTGAAGGCACGTGATGAGTGTACAAATTGGACACATGTCATTTTTTGATTGGTAACTTTATAATTAGTTAGTACACATATTTATTGATAATAAAACTTATATATATTTAATTATTTTTATTTCTTTCTTTGTAAAATATTTATTTTAATTTAATTTCACTTTAAACTTTTTTATTTAATTTATTATATTTTCACTTTTAATTATTTAAAAAAAATTATGTGTATTTTTTTTTTAAAATAATTTAAAAGTGTCCTTTAATTTTAACATTTTTTTTTATTATGTTTTATTTGATTTTCTTCACTTATTTTGATATCCATTCAAAATTAACTTATTTTAAATACAAGACATTTGAAATCAAATAAAAAGGAAAGACAAAGAAAATAAAATCAATAGAAAAATAAAAGAGAAAAACAGTGAATGTAGGTAAAAATTTTTTTTGTTACAATGTAAAAAAATGTGTATTAACTTAATTTAAAAACAAGTTAAAAAATAAGAATATTTTTTTTTAAAAAATTTAGATTTTTTAAAAAAATTTTGAATTTTTTTTAATTAAAAAATAATAATATTTACACACGTGGCGGGGAGAGTGTGTGCAAACACAACCAACTTGGGTGGTTGAAGGTGCCACATCAGCACAAAAGGTGCACAAAAATACGAAAAAAATGAGTTCGGGGGGGGGGGGGTAATAGGATCGTAGTTAAGTTTAGGTGTGTCTCTAGAATTTCGGTCATAGTCTAGGGGATACTTATGACCTATCCCTTAAGGATAAATGATAAGAAGTAATAAATTTCATTTTCCTTTACATTATTAATGTTTGTTACTATGTAATCTTGTATGTAAGATAATATAGTGTTTTAGTTTTAATGATTGATAAGTTTTAAGTATTATTTTATAAATTTTGTGATATTAAATTCCTGCTCAAAGCGCGAGTAATTTTACTAGTTAAAGATATATAAAAGAAAATAAAACAAACTTTAATTAAAGATAGAAAAGGAAAACTAAAAGAGAACAAAAATACGTTTTTAAGAAGAAAAAAAAGGAATTAGAATATACATTTCACCTTAATATTCTCCTCCTAATTTAATATGATTTCCATAAATAAATTGATTCTCTCTCCAAACAATTCTTCTCGTCTATGAACCACTTATCATTCTTTTTATAAGAGCCACAAGTGATTTCAATCCAGTTTGCATCACTGAGGGTGAAGATATTGAATGTGTGATGTGTAATGTGTAATGTGTGTTCGCTTTCTTGGGAGAGTCCTCAGTCAACATGTAATGAAGTGATGAAATTAAGTATCCTTCTTATAGAAATCTCATCATTAATTATTAACTAAATCAAACAATTTCTAATTATCTATACGAAGAAAGTTTCCATAGTTTTTTTTTTTGTGGGGGAGGAGATTACAATGTGGGGAATCGAACCCTCACCAATTAGGTGGGACTTCAGACAACCAACCTACTAAGCTATTAAGATTCTCGAAAGTTTCATAGTTTATAAGTAGTGAGACAATATATTACATTTTTTGGAGTTATGAGTCAATTTTGAGTACCAATAGTTGTAATGTGACCAGGTCTTTGCCTATTTTTCTTCTGTGGAGGCTTAATGTAAAGAAACTGGAAACAGTTTAGTCTTGACATATGTATTTAAGTTCAATGTAAGAGGTCTTTTTTTTTTTGGGTCGATAGAGATGTTGACGTATTTACATAGTACAAATTAGCATTCTTTGTTGCACATTAATTTAGAAGATATGTTCAACACAAATTCATTAATCTTGATGAAAATTTTAATTTTAAAACCTCTTCAACATTTCTTCGATCCTTCCTATGGGGAAACTCCGGACTCAATACCCTGACTTTCTTTATACGGAAATCTTCAAATTCCACACAGAGCCGGCTCATAGGTGAAGTCCGCGAAGCAATGGTTTTGGTCCCCAAATTTTACTAGTAATAGGTTTATGTATCATTTTTTTCCTAACTCCTTGAATACTCACCAGTAGTCCAATGCAAATGCAAGTATAGGATGCAGGTCAACTGCTGCCTTTGGCTCGACTTCTGTATATATACATTATTAGTTAAATATTTCACAAAATTACAAGTGACATTGGGGACAACGGTAGTGGTGGTGGTGTTGAAAGTGGACATAATTATAATAATGGAGGTGATAGATATGATAGCGACCGACAATAGTGGTAGTTGTAATAACAAAGCTGGTTAATGATGGTAGCTTGTAGTTGTGGACAGAGTGATGGTAAAAATCTCCACACAAAAATACCTCCTAATGATATTAAGACTTTTTTGATGATGTTAATGATTAAACCTACTCAGACCAAATAAGTGCTTAAATCTTAAACGTAAACAAATACACTTAATGGCCTAAGGTGTGAACCATTCAAATTTAGACCTAGATTCATATCTTCATTAAGTGCAATTAAACCGAAGCCCAAAATCATCCTCAATCAAACCTCCATGAAAAGCCTTAATAAATGTTACGTTAAGAAAACCTATCAAGAAAAAGAATAAAATAAACCTCCGATTAAGAATCAAAGACTAGAAATTTATAAATCTCTCTTTCCTGCATTTTAATTTCTTGCAAAAGTGAATACTGAATGTCCTGCATTCTGTTGTTTTTCTTTGTTGTTCCAGTTTGTTTTAATACTGTTTTGTCCAGTACCTCTCTCTAGTAAAATAAAATAAACAAAATTTTCAGTTGAAAACTGTAATAAAACTTGATCAACATGATTTTGGAGAATAAAGAATTGAAGAAACACATTCAAAGTTTGGTAGAAAGATTAACATCATTTATTTCTCATTTTCGACTTCCATACATCAACACATACATCAAGAAACTAGTTGCTTCCTACAACCTTTGATTAAACACACTTAAGTAATCAAATAACACAAAAAAGTAGACGGTCTGATTCTACCTAGTGCCGACAATTGACAAGCTGTAGCCTAATCTTTATCAGATTTGAAAGAGCATCTTTCATGCTAATTCTTGCATCAGGTGTCACTAAAGTGCAATTCAAAGCTAATTTCACGATAGATAACAAACATTGCATCTTTGCGTCAATTTGTTCATCTCCTGGCTGTACCAAATTAGAATCCACCACCTTATGAATTTCACTCGGAAAGGAATCACTAACCCAACGCTGTATGCTCCATTCACCGGTAAATGTTGTTAGCATGATAGACAACTGAATGATTGTATATATTAATGTAATTATATAGTGATATAAATTAGCATGATCATATACATTTGTTGTAGAATCATATGAATAAATATTGTGATAGAATAGCTGATTTGGAGGGATAGCAAGGCAGATTTGTATAGATAGAATAGCTGATCTTTAGGGATAGGAATGGCGGATCTTTAGGGATGTGTAATCTTTATTTTCTCTATATAATGGAAAGACTCTCTCACTTTGAGAGGCATTCAGCTGGAAATTTACATGGTATTAGAGCCTTCTCTTGGCTGTCTTGTTTCATAGAGTCATTTGTGGTTCCTTTTATTATTTTTTTTGAAAATCTTGGTTTTTGGCTACCTCCTGGGAATTTTGTTCTTGGTCATTCTTGTTGCTTTCTTGAGTCTTTGTAGTTTCATAGCTATTCAAAAGCATGAATTCACATCACTTTGAATCCTTCAGTGTTCGTTTCACTGGAAAAAAATATTCTTTTTGGGAGTTTCAATTTCAGTTGTTTGTCACCGGCAAAGAACTATGGGGCCATATAGATGGAAGCGATCCTGCTCCTACTGATGCAACAAAGCTAGGTGAATGGAAGATTAAAGATGCTCGGGTGATGACATGGATTCTAGGGTCAATTGACCCTCTTATTGTTCTTAATCTCAGGCCGTACAAGACAGCTAAGGCCATGTGGGATTACTTACAAAAGGTTTACAACCAAGATAATAGCGCAAGACGCTTTCAGTTGGAGTATGAAATTGCTAATTACTCTCAAGGAGGTCTTTCTGTTCAGGATTATTTTTCTGGATTTCAAAACTTTTGGGCTGAATTTACAGATATTGTCTATGCCAAAATACCTACTGAATCCCTATTAGTGATTCAGGCAGTTCATGAGCAAAGCAAGCGAGACCAATTTTTGATGAAATTACACTCCGACTTTGAGAGTGTTCGCTCTAACTTGATGAATCGTGATCCGTCTCCCTCTTTGGATGTTTGCTTTAGGGAATTACTTCGTGAAGAGCAACGCCTTGTCACACAAAATACTTTTAAGAAAGAAAATGATGTCATTGTTGCATTTGCTGCTCAAGGTAAAGGAAAGGGCAGGGATATGAGTAGAACTCAATGCTACAGTTGCAAGGAATATGGTCATATTGCTAGCAATTATAGCAAGAAGTTTTGTAATTATTGTAAACAACAAGGACACATTATCAAAGAGTGTCCCACGCGCCCTCAAAATCGTATGATCAATGCTTTTCAAGCTAGGATAAATGGTTCCACTGATGATAACTCATCTTCAGGACAAGTTCTTACTCCTGAAATGGTACAACAAATGATCGTGTCAGCCTTTTCAGCATTGGGATTACAAGGTAATGATGTTACATCTAATTTTTGGATTGTTGATTCAGGCGCTTCCAATCATATGACCAACTCAACGAGCATCCTAAAAAATGTTCGTAAGTATCAAGGTCCATCACAAATACAGATTGCCAATGGTAGTAATTTACCCATTACCAAGGTTGGGGACATTACTCCAACTTTCAAGAATGTTTTTGTTTCACCAAAGCTCTTAACTAGTCTTATTTCAGTTAGACAATTGGTAGATAACAATTGTGATGTGAATTTTTCTCGTAATGGTTGTCTTGTGTAGGATCAGGTGTCGGGGACGATAATCGCGAAGGGGCCTAAAGTTGGACGATTGTTTCCTATACACTTTTCCATTCCTCCTGTTCTATCTTTTGCTTGTACTTCTACTGCTAGTAAAACCGAGGTTTGGCATAAGCGTCTAGGACATCCAAATTCTGTTGTGTTGTCTCATTTATCAAATTCTGGTTTATTGGGAAATAAAAATAAATTTTTCAGTTGCTTCCGTTGATTGTTCTACTTGTAAATTAGGCAAAAGTAAAACTCTTCCTTTTCCTAATTTTGGTAGTCGTGCTACAAAGTGTTTTGATGTCATTCATAGTGATGTTTGGGGCATTTCACCAGTTATTTCTCATGCTCATTTCAAATACTTTGTGACATTCATAGATGATTATAGTCGGTTTACATGGGTGTATTTTCTTCGATCCAAATCTGAGGTATTTTCCATGTTCAAGACATTTTTGGCTTACATTGAGACTCAATTTTCTACATGCATCAAATTATTAAGATCTGATTCTGGTGGAGAATATATGTCTTATGAATTCAAAAAAATTCTTGCTTGACAAAGGGATTGTCTCACAACACTCTTGCCCATATACACCACAACAAAATGGAGTTGTTGAACGAAAAAATTGGCATCTTTTAGATGTCCCTCGTACTTTATTGATTGAGTCATCTGTACCATCTAAATATTGGGTGGAAGCTTTGTCTACTGCTGTCTATTTAATTAATAGATTGCCATCTAAAGTGCTAAATCTTGAGTCTCCATATTTTCGTCTTTATCACCAAAATCCTAACTATAGTGATTTTCATACATTTGATTGTGTTTGTTTTGTGCATTTGCCTCCTTCGCAACGCAATAAACTTTCTGTACAATCTACTAAATGTGCTTTTATGGGTTATAGTACTTCACAAAAAGGTTTTATTTGTTATGATCCATGTTCTCACAAATTTCGTATTTCTAGAAATGTTGTTTTCTTTGATAATAAGTACTTCTTTCCTACGATTGTAGATTCATCTTCTGTTTCTCCTCTTCTTCCTACTTTTGAGGATTTATCATCTTGTTTTAAGAGCTTCAAACCTGGATTTGTGTATGAACGACGTCGGCCAACATTACCCTATCCCGACACTGATCCGCTGCCTGAAACTGCACCACAACTAGAATCTGAGAATTCTTTAAGATCTGGTCCTCTTGAGCCTACTCGGCTATCTACAAGAGTATCTCGTACTCCCAATTGGTATGGTTTTTCCTCTACTTTATCCAACATATCTGTTCCATCTTGTTACTCACAAGCTTCCAAGCATGAATGTTGGCAGAAAGCAATGGAGGAAGAACTTTTGGCTCTTAAAGAAAATGACACTGGGACATTGTTTCATGTCCTTCAAATGTCCGCCCTATTGGATGTAAGTGGGTTTATTCAATCAAACTTCATTCTGATGGAACTCTTGATCGGTACAAAGCTCGATTGGTTGTTCTTGGTAACAGACAAGAGTATGGGGTGGACTATGAGGAGACTTTTGCACCCGTAGCCAAAATGACTACGATACGAACGTTATTGCCATTGCTGCTTCACAAAACTGGTCTCTTTATCAAATGGATGTCAAAAATACTTTTCTCCATGGTGATCTTAAAGAAGATATTTATATGAAACCTCCACCTGGTTTGTTCTCATCGCCTACATCAGATGTATGCAAGTTGAAGCGGTCTTTGTATGGATTAAAACAAGCTCCAAGAGCTTGGTTTGATAAGTTCCGGTCTACTTTGCTACAATTTTCTTTTGAGCAGAGCAAATATGACTCATCTTTGTTTCTTCGGAAAACATCTACAGGTTGTGTTCTTCTTTTGGTGTATGTAGATGACATTATTATCACAGGAACTGATTCTTCACTAATTACTTGCCTCCAACAGCAGCTTAAAGATTCTTTTCATATGAAAGATCTTGGTATTGTTACTTATTATTTGGGTTTGGAAGTTCATAATGTTGCTTCAGGTGTATTTCTAAACCAACACAAATATACTCAGGATCTGATTTCTTTGGCTGGTCTTCAAGTTTCCTCCTCCGTAGACACTCCACTGGAAATGAATGTCAAGTATCGTCGTGAGGAAGGCGATCTTCTTCCTGATCCAACTATATTTTGACAATTAGTTGGGATTCTAAATTACCTTACTATTACTCGGCCTGATATCTCTTTTGCAGTTCAACAAGTTAGTCAATTTATGCAAGCTCCTCGTCATCTCCACTTGGTGGCTGTTCGTCGCATCATTCGGTGCCTTCTAGGAACATCTACTCGTGGATTATTCTTTCCAAGTGGTTCTCCTATTCGTCTTAATGCTTTTAGTGATCCTGATTGGGAGGGATGTCCTGATACTCGTCGTTCAGTCTCTGGTTGGTGCATGTTTCTTGGAGAGTCATTGATATCTTGGAAGAGTAAAAAGCAAGATCGTGTGTCAAAATCTTCAACAGAGGCTGAATATCGATCCATGTCTACTACTTGCTCCGAGGTTGTATGGCTTCGTGGATTACTTACTGAGATTGGATTTGCCCAATCTCATCCTACTCCTCTCCACGCTGACAATACAAGTGCTATTCAGATTGCTACTAATCCAGTTTTTCATGAGAGGACCAAACACATCAAAGTGGATTGTCATTATATACGAGAAGCTGTGGATAAATGAGTCATTACTCTTCCACATGTGTCTAGTGATCTTCAAATAGCTGATGCGTTTACAAAATCCATGGCACGACAACACCATTAGTTTCTAGTAGGCAAATTGATGCTTCTTGATCCATCATCATCAATTTGAGGGGGGATGTTAGCATGATAGACAACTGAATGATTGTATATATTAATGTAATTATATAGTGATATAAATTAGCATGATCATATACATTTGCTGTAGAATCATATGAATAAATATTGTGATAGAATAGCTGATTTGGAGGGATAGCAAGGCATATTTAGAGGGATTCAATGACAGATTTGTATAGATAGAATAGTTGATCTTTAGGGATAGGAATGGCGGATCTTTAGGGATGTGTAATCTTTATTTTCTCTATATAATGGAAAGACTCTCTCACTTTGAGAGGCAGTCAGCTGAAAATTTACAAATGTGTCATCACTTGGTCTTTTTCTTGTGAACGTCTCCATCATCAGGATGCCAAAGCTATAAACATCACATCTCGTGGATACTATTCCATCTTGTCCATACTCTACAATCATGGTAAAAAATGATCATAAAAGCTTCCTAGTTAAAATAGAATATGCCAAAACTGAGAGTATCAATCCATTTCTATGGGAAAGAATTGTTTAACTATAAAATGTTCTAATCTAATATACTTGGAGCAATATATCCAATGATAAGAAGTAATAAATTTCATTTTCCTTTACATTATTAATGTTTGTTACTATGTAATCTTGTATGTAAGATAATATAGTGTTTTGGTTTTAATGACCGATGAGTTTTAAGTATTATTTTATAAATTCTGTGATATTAAATTCCTGCACAAAGCGCGGGTAATTTACTAGTTAAAGATATATAAAAGAAAATAAAACAAACTTTAATTAAAGATAGAAAAGGAAAACTAAAAGAGAACAAAAATACGTTTTTAAGAAGAAAAAAAAGGAATTAGAATATAGATTTCTCCTTAATATTCTCCTCCTAATTTAATATGATTTCCATAAATAAATTGATTCTCTCTCCAAACAATTCTTCTTGTCTATGAACCACTTATCATTCTTTTTATAAGAGCCACAAGTGATTTCAATCCAGTTTGCATCACTGAGGGTGAAGATATTGAATGTGTAATGTGTGTTTGCTCTCTTGGGAGAGTCCTCAGTCAACATGTAATGAAGTGATGAAATTAAGTATCCTTCTTATAGAAATCTCATCATTAATTATTAACTAAATCAAACAATTTCTAATTATCTATACGAAGAAAGTTTCCATAGTTTTTTTTTTTTTTTGTGGGGGAGGAGAATACAATGTGGGGAATCGAACCCTCACCAATAAGGTGAGACTTCAGACAGCCAACCTACTAAGCTATTAAGATTTTCGAAAGTTTCATAGTTTATAAGTAGTGAGACAATATATTTGCATTTTTTGGAGTTATGAGTCAATTTTGAGTACCAATAGTTGTAATGTGCCCAGGTCTTTGCCTATTTTTCTTCTGTGGGGGTTTAATGTAAAGAAGCTGGAAACAGTTTAGTCTTGACATATATATGTAAGTTCAATGTAAGAGGTTGTTTCAACAAGACATCTTTTTTTTTCTGGGTCGATAGAGATGTTGACGTATTTACATAGTACAAATTAGCATTCTTTGTTACACATTAATTTAGAAGATATGTTCAACACAAATTCATTAATCTTGATGAGAGTTTTAATTTTAAAACCTCTTCAATATTTCTTCGATCCTTCCTATGGGGAAACTCCGGACTCAATACCCTGACTTTCTTTATACGGAAATCTTCAAATTCCACACAGAGTCGGCTCATAGGTGAAGTCCGTGAATCAATGGTTTAGGTCCCCAAATTTTACTAGTAATAGGTTTATGTATCATTTTTTCCCCAACTCCTTGAATACTCACCAGTAGTCCAATGCAAATGCAGGTATAGGATGCAGGTCAACCGCTGCCTTTGGCTTGACTTCTGTGTATATACATTATTAGTTAAATATTTCACAAAATTACAAGTGACATTGGGGACAACGGTAGTGGTGGTGGTGGATTAAGTGGACGTAATTATAATAACGGAGGTGATAGATATGATAGCGACTGACAGTAGTGGTAGTTGTAATAACAAAGGTGGTTAATGATGGTAGCTTGTAGTTGTGGACAGAGTGATGGTAAAAATTTCCACACAAAAATACCTCCTAATGATATTAAGACTTTTTTGATGATGTTAGTGATTAAGACCTACTCAGATCAAACAAGTGCTTAAATCTTAAACGTAAACAAATACACTTAATGGCCTAAGGTGTGAACCATTCAAATTTAGACCTAGATTCATATCTTCATTAAGTGCAATTAAACCGAGGCCCAAAATCATCCTCTATCAAACCTCCATGAAAAAACTTAATAAATGTTACGTTAAGAAAATCTATCAAGAAAAAGAATAAAATAAACCTCCGATTAAGAATCAAAGACTAGAAATTTATAAATCTCTCTTCCCTGCATTTTAGTTTCTTGCAAAAGTGAATACTGAATGTCCTGCATTCTGTTGTTTTTCTTTGTTGTTCCAGCAAAGTACAAGCTGTAGCCTAATCTTTTTCAGATTTGAAAGAGCATCTTTCATGCTAATTCTTGCATCAGGTGTCACTAAAGTGCAATTCAAAGCTAATTTCACGATAGATAACAAACATTGCATCTTTGCGTCAATTTGTTCATCTCCTGGCTGTACCAAATTAGAATCCACCACCTTATGAATTTCACTCGGAAAGGAATCACTAACCCAACGCTGTATGCTCCATTCACCGGTAAATGTGTCATCACTTGGTCTTTTTCTTGTGAACGTCTCCATCATCAGGATGCCAAAGCTATAAACATCACATCTCGTGGATACTATTCCATCTTGTCCATACTCTACAATCATGGTAAAAAATGATCATAAAAGCTTCCTAGTTAAAATAGAATATGCCAAAACTGAGAGTATCAATCCATTTCTATGGGAAAGAATTGTTTAACTATAAAATGTTCTAATCTAATATACTTGGAGCAATATATCCAATGATAAGAAGTAATAAATTTCATTTTCCTTTACATTATTAATGTTTGTTACTATGTAATCTTGTATGTAAGATAATATAGTGTTTTGGTTTTAATGACCGATGAGTTTTAAGTATTATTTTATAAATTCTGTGATATTAAATTCCTGCACAAAGCGCGGGTAATTTACTAGTTAAAGATATATAAAAGAAAATAAAACAAACTTTAATTAAAGATAGAAAAGGAAAACTAAAAGAGAACAAAAATACGTTTTTAAGAAGAAAAAAAAGGAATTAGAATATAGATTTCTCCTTAATATTCTCCTCCTAATTTAATATGATTTCCATAAATAAATTGATTCTCTCTCCAAACAATTCTTCTTGTCTATGAACCACTTATCATTCTTTTTATAAGAGCCACAAGTGATTTCAATCCAGTTTGCATCACTGAGGGTGAAGATATTGAATGTGTAATGTGTGTTTGCTCTCTTGGGAGAGTCCTCAGTCAACATGTAATGAAGTGATGAAATTAAGTATCCTTCTTATAGAAATCTCATCATTAATTATTAACTAAATCAAACAATTTCTAATTATCTATACGAAGAAAGTTTCCATAGTTTTTTTTTTTTTTTGTGGGGGAGGAGAATACAATGTGGGGAATCGAACCCTCACCAATAAGGTGAGACTTCAGACAGCCAACCTACTAAGCTATTAAGATTTTCGAAAGTTTCATAGTTTATAAGTAGTGAGACAATATATTTGCATTTTTTGGAGTTATGAGTCAATTTTGAGTACCAATAGTTGTAATGTGCCCAGGTCTTTGCCTATTTTTCTTCTGTGGGGGTTTAATGTAAAGAAGCTGGAAACAGTTTAGTCTTGACATATATATGTAAGTTCAATGTAAGAGGTTGTTTCAACAAGACATCTTTTTTTTTCTGGGTCGATAGAGATGTTGACGTATTTACATAGTACAAATTAGCATTCTTTGTTACACATTAATTTAGAAGATATGTTCAACACAAATTCATTAATCTTGATGAGAGTTTTAATTTTAAAACCTCTTCAATATTTCTTCGATCCTTCCTATGGGGAAACTCCGGACTCAATACCCTGACTTTCTTTATACGGAAATCTTCAAATTCCACACAGAGTCGGCTCATAGGTGAAGTCCGTGAATCAATGGTTTAGGTCCCCAAATTTTACTAGTAATAGGTTTATGTATCATTTTTTCCCCAACTCCTTGAATACTCACCAGTAGTCCAATGCAAATGCAGGTATAGGATGCAGGTCAACCGCTGCCTTTGGCTTGACTTCTGTGTATATACATTATTAGTTAAATATTTCACAAAATTACAAGTGACATTGGGGACAACGGTAGTGGTGGTGGTGGATTAAGTGGACGTAATTATAATAACGGAGGTGATAGATATGATAGCGACTGACAGTAGTGGTAGTTGTAATAACAAAGGTGGTTAATGATGGTAGCTTGTAGTTGTGGACAGAGTGATGGTAAAAATTTCCACACAAAAATACCTCCTAATGATATTAAGACTTTTTTGATGATGTTAGTGATTAAGACCTACTCAGATCAAACAAGTGCTTAAATCTTAAACGTAAACAAATACACTTAATGGCCTAAGGTGTGAACCATTCAAATTTAGACCTAGATTCATATCTTCATTAAGTGCAATTAAACCGAGGCCCAAAATCATCCTCTATCAAACCTCCATGAAAAAACTTAATAAATGTTACGTTAAGAAAATCTATCAAGAAAAAGAATAAAATAAACCTCCGATTAAGAATCAAAGACTAGAAATTTATAAATCTCTCTTCCCTGCATTTTAGTTTCTTGCAAAAGTGAATACTGAATGTCCTGCATTCTGTTGTTTTTCTTTGTTGTTCCAGCAAAGTACAAGCTGTAGCCTAATCTTTTTCAGATTTGAAAGAGCATCTTTCATGCTAATTCTTGCATCAGGTGTCACTAAAGTGCAATTCAAAGCTAATTTCACGATAGATAACAAACATTGCATCTTTGCGTCAATTTGTTCATCTCCTGGCTGTACCAAATTAGAATCCACCACCTTATGAATTTCACTCGGAAAGGAATCACTAACCCAACGCTGTATGCTCCATTCACCGGTAAATGTGTCATCACTTGGTCTTTTTCTTGTGAACGTCTCCATCATCAGGATGCCAAAGCTATAAACATCACATCTCGTGGATACTATTCCATCTTGTCCATACTCTACAATCATGGTAAAAAATGATCATAAAAGCTTCCTAGTTAAAATAGAATATGCCAAAACTGAGAGTATCAATCCATTTCTAGGGGAAAGAATTGTTTTACTATAAAATGTTCTAATCTAATATACCTGGAGCAATATATCCAATGGTTGCAATAGTCCTTGTTTGAACAGAAGCCTCCACTTCACCTAGCAGTTTCGCAATGCCAAAATCACTGACATGACCAACCATTTCCTGATCTAGCAAGACATTACTTGGCTTCAAGTCACAATGAACCACAAGCGATGTATAGCCGTTGTGGAGATAGTCCATTGCAGATGCAACATCTATCATTATATCCAATCTCTGTAATAAGTTCAAGAACAAGTTGGGGGAGTATAACCATTTAGTAAGTGTCCCATTGGGCATGTATTCCAACACCAGGGCCTTGAAATCAAGGTTGGCACGGCTTGTAATAACTTTGGTCAGATTTCTGTGGCGAAGGTTCCGGAGTATCTCACATTCCGTGTCAAAACTTTTGAATGCACCCTCCAATTGCACATTGAATACCTATACTGCCAAAAGAGTACCATCCTTAAGTATCCCTTGGTAGACCATACTAAAACTCCCTGTACCAAGCAAGTTGCTTTCGTCGAATCCTTCTGTTGCATGTTCAAGTTCATAATAGGAAATTCTTTCATGTTCTTTTACCAGACACACATCTGCTTGACTTGCATTCTCTTTGTCTTTCTCAATCTTAACACCACATAGCCAACTACCAACACAAAGAGCGACCCAATCCCTAACAGCATATATAAACCTATAAGCGCTCTTTTTCTTCTTCACTTCTTTGTAGATTTGGTTTGACATGGTTTTATGTTAAACCGGGAGTCACCACAGAGTGCATCATTGGACAAGAAGGATTGACTAGTGACATTTGCAAAAGGACCGCCAATGGGAATTTCTCCACTGAGTTTATTGAATGAGAAATTAATGTATTTGAGATACACAAGAGCTTCTAATGACTTTGGAATTTCACCACTAAAATTGTTATAGGACAAATCCAAGAATTCCAATGCCAACAATTTGCCAAATGAATCTGGAATAGGCCCCTCTAATCTATTATGTGCTAGAGGAAGATTAATCAATTCAGCTAGACCTCCTAAAGTGCTAGGAATTTTACCAGAAAAATCATTTTTTGACAAATCAATTAGTGTTACTGCCTTTAAATTTCCCAACTCCAGAGGAATATGATCACTTAATGAATTGGATGAAACATTGAATTCTATGAGATCATGAAGGTCCCCTAAGCTTGTAGGTAATCTTAAATTCAGCCTGTTGTAAGCTAGATTAAGATACCTCAAACTCGTAACATTCCCTATGCATGAGGACACTAAACTAGAAAAATGATTTCCTGACAAGTCTAATGCACCAAGATTCTTTAAACTGCATATAACATTTGGTATGGTACCTTTAATCTCGTTGCTATGTAGATAAAATTCTTGGAGCTTACATCCATTTCCTTGAAAATTTCGCAGAGAGTTTGAGAAATTACCAGCAGACGCTGATAAATCCCCATCCAATGCATTCTCATTAAACCAGAGTGATCTTAGTTTCCTACAGTTTGTTAATGATGTAAGGAAGCTCAATGATGAATCACTGATAAAATTATTCATCTCTAAGTTCTCAAGATATTCTAAGTTACCAAGTGATTTAGGAATTGGACCTGTGAAACTGTTGTATGAGAGTTCAAATATTCGTAGTCTTGAAGAATTAGAGATTGAATCAGAGATAAAACCACTCAGATTATTTCCTACACAAATAAATACTTCTAGGTTGGGCATTCTACAACCTAAATTTGAAGGTAGAGTACCTGAAAACTTGTTTAGTGCAAAATCTATCATCTGCAGTGCTGACATGTTGAAAATTGCTTTCAGGGACAGAATCTGTAAAGTCAATTCTCATTTAATCCCAATGCTGAAAGTTTCTTAAGATTACCTAGCTCCATTGGTATCTCTCCTGTCAATTTTGAGGATTATATGAGTTACCATATGCAGAGCTCTGAAAGGAAGAATATTTTCATTTTTCTTGTAAGGAAATATCATACTACCTTCCAAATACAGATCTCCGAGATATAATTCTGTAAGAGCTATTAAGTTGGCCAGCTCTCTTGGTACAATTCCAATAAACTCATTGTAAGACAATGACAATATTTGAAGTTTTCGGCATTTCTCAAGGTTTGGTGGAATAACTCCATCTAAGGAGTTCTTTTTAGAGGTAAAGCCTTTTCAAGTTTGGAAGAAGGTCACATATAGTTTTTGGAAGCTTTCCAGTAAGATTGTTGCCAGTAAGAGCAATGGTTTCCATCGTAGTAATGTTAAAGATTGATGATGGTATAGAGCCTGTAAGTCCATTATATTGCAGGTCTAGGATACTCAGGTAATGAAGATGACCGAGTTCCCGAGGGATCTCTCCTTGGAGAAAATTGCTCTGTATTGACAGCACTTGCAGTTTTGTCAGATTGGAAAGCGAAGATGGAATTTCCCCCGATAATTGGTTCCTTTAGAGGTACACAAACTGTAGGTTTGGTAACAAACTTAAAAATGATGGAATGGCTCCAGTGAAGTTATTGCTGGTGACACTAATCAATTTCAACCTCTGCAAATGAGCCAACTCTAGTGGCAAATCTCCATGAAAAGCGTTGTTACTGATGCTGAGGGAAACAAGAAATGAGAGATTTCCAAGGTGTGGAGGAATGGTTCCATGAAGTTGCATGCTAGAAATGTCTAAAGCAGTGACTCGATTGTGGCGGGAGCTGCAAGTGACTCCAATCTAGCTGCAAACCGGGCCGGAAGAAGACCAGTTGCTTGCTAAGATATTGTTAGGATGAGAAGAAATATGTGATTTAAATGCAAGAAGAGAAGCTTCATCGGTGCTAATATTAGCAAGTGAAGTATGGTTATGAAGCAGAATGAAAAGTGAAAGCTGAGCAAAGAGGAGAATGTAACTTGTGTCCATAACTATGACAAGAAGAATAATGGATAATGCAAAGCAGTGATGTTAGAAGACCTATTTAATCATCAAATTCATTGGAAAAGAGTGTTTTTGGGTTTAGACGTAAAAGAGTGTCAACAGTCAACGTCTTCTCTACCTTGCCCCCCACCACACTCAAATATAAGTTAGCAGTTGTTGATGTTTTCCCAAATTCTTAGAAATGTACGGTAAATCTGTGTCATTACTATTCATCTTGAGAAATAATTAAAATGACGAAACGTCTCATTTTATGTAATGGTCGATTTGGTGTGATTATAATCACATTTTTTTTTTCTTTTTCTCATTTTTTCTTTACTTATTATTTAATGATTTTATTTTATCACTCATCCTTCCTTTTCTATAACTACTTTCTGGACATATGCTTTAAAAGAGAAAATGACATAAATAGTCACTTAACTATAAGAGTAGGTCTAAAATGGTCCCTTAACTATACACTTAACGGATTTAGTCCTTTAACTATTCAAAAACTTATCAGCTTTGGTCCCTTAACTATATACTTACTGGTTTTAGTCCTTTAACTACAAACTTACCGATTTTAGTCTTTTAAGTATTCAAAAACTTATCAAATTTGATCTTTGTCCATTGTTTTAATACAAATAACTTAGGTTTATATTAATAGAATTCATGTCTCTAGAAATTAAATCCTTTAGTAATTTTTTATGTTGTTTCTCTCTCTCCGCTATTTTTTCTTCAAATTAACCTTATGCGAAGAACTTTAACCTCAACGATTTAAAATAAAATTCACGAGGATAAAATGAAGCATATTTATTGGTATTAATGACTTGAATATGCTAAACTTCATTATAAAAAGAAAAAGATTACTACCCGTTAAATCCAAAGTTTGTACTCCAACGACTTCATTGAACATAATTTGTTTAATTTTTCAGAAATTGGAATTTATAAATGGGAAAATGCATAAGTACCCCCCCCCCCCCTCCCGAACTTATTTTTTAATTAATTTTCTACCCCTTTTCGGCCTACGTGGCACTATCCTTGAAAAAATTGTCAACACGCGCTGGGCCCACAAGATAGTGCCACGTAGGCCAAAAAAGGGGTAGAAAATTATATATAAAATAAGTTTGAGGGGTAATAGGACCTTAGTAAAGGTTAGGTGTATCTCAGGGATTTTGAGCATAGGTTGGGGGGTACTTATGCATTTTCCCTTTATAAATGGTAGATTTGCAAAAAAATTTAAATAGATCAAATTTATTATTCTATTTATTTTATTTTACGTAAAGAAATTTGAGTAAATTAAATCCGCACTGATTAGCATATTCAAGTTATTAACAACAATTACATGCTTAATTTTATCCTCCATTGAATAAAATTAAGACTTATATCTTCTTTCGTCATTAATTTTATTTTGAACCGTTGACGTTATTATTCTTTTCATAAGAGTAGTTTGAAGAAAAAAGGGCGGGGATAGAGAAAAAACTTAAAAAATGGGTTAAAGGTTTAATTTCATGAATATTTCCGTTAATATAAATATAAGCTATTTGTATTTAAAAAATGGACAAAGACTAAACCTGATAAGTTTTTGAATACTTAAAGGACTAAAATCAGTAAGTTTATAGTTAAGGGACTTAAACCGGTAAATGTATAGTTAAGGGACCAAAGCTGATAAATTCTTGAATAGTTAAGGACTAAATCCATTAAGTGTATTGTTAGGGGACCATTTTAGACCTACTCCTATAGTTAAGGGACTAAAATCGGTAAATGTATAGTTAAGGGACCAAAGCTAATAAATTCTTGAATAGTTAACGACTAAATCCATTAAGTGTATAATTAAGGGACCATTTTAGACCTACTCCTATAGGTAAAAGACTATTTATGTCATTTTTTCTGCTTTAAAACTTGATTGCGAAATTTTCAGTCTTAAAAAATAAATATAAAATTTAAAAACAAAAAAAACTATATATATATATATATATATATATATATATAATATTATTCTAAGAACATAAACTTTAATTGAAGATATATTATTTAAGTTATATAAAACAAACTTCAATCAAAGAATTAAAGATATATAAAAGAAAATAAAACAAATTTTAATTATAGATAGATAAGGAAAAAATATTTTTAAGAAAAAGAAAACAAAAAAAATGGAATTAGAAATAAATGATAAATCAAATTCTATTTATATAAAAAAAAATTACAATTCTTATAAAGTTATAACAATTAACTTTTTATTCTAAGAATATAAACTTTAATTAAATATATATTAAAGAAAAGAAAACAAACTTCAAGTAAAGATATATAAAAGAAAATAAAACAAACTTTAATTAAAGATAGATAAGGGAGAAAAAAGGGAATTAGAAATAAATGGCAAATCAAATTTTATCTATGTAAAACAATGCAATCCTTATAAAGTTATAATAATTAAATTATGAAATAAATAAATAAAAAGTACAAAGAACAAAGAAAGGAAATAAGTGATTTGAGGAAATGATATGAATAACATTAATGATGAGATTAAGAAAAGAAAATTTAAAAAATTAATACCATCAATGATTAAAGAATTTAAATATGATCATATTTGATATTCTATACAATTTTAAGGTTTCTCTTTTAAAAACTAGGAAAAACACAAAAAAAAAAAATTAGAAAAATAAATAAACAAAATCCAGATTTAATTTTTAGCAATTATTTTAAGAAAATATAAGAGAAAATTGTCACGCCCCGAGCCTACACCCTGGACGTGGCTGGCACTCGAAGACCATGCTGGCCCCCAAGCGAACCCTTGGCCTGACTTTCTTAACTCAGCGGAAAACTCAATGCAATGCAAGGTTTTAAAACAACCTGACTGAAATAAAATTTGGCCAAAAAGGCAACTCAAGTCTCAAAATAGAATATTTACATATATACATATATGAGAGACTCCAAACTAACTGACTGACCGTCTATGAAGCCTTTAAAATACTGAGATGGATGTTGGGACAGACCCCACAACATCCTAACAAAACAAAACTTGAGAGAACAAAATAACCGAGTCCTCCGGAATGCAAAGAGGCTCACCACTGACTCTGAAGTACTCAACTGGATCAACGGCGAATCGGATGTTGGCTCTGGGTACCTGTGTCTGCATCATAATAAGATGCAGGCCAACTGGCATCAGTACATTGAATGTACGAGTATGCGAGCTGGAGAGCTAAACCACAAATTAAGCTTGGAAGGAGTACAAAGGAACTCTTACCTTGGCTCTGTTCAACTCATGAATAAGTGAACTCAATATATAAAGCAATACGACACATGCAATATATAAATCTTGTAAAACCATGTAAACAACTTAGCTTGTTAAAGATAAAACAATAACAACTCAACTTTACTTGCATAAAAGTAATATAACTTTAGTGGGAGATTCTTTAACTGACAATCACCACCATGAGCCCTAGTGGTGATACAACGTTTTACCTCACGTTGCCCAAGGACCATCCTATACCTTGCCGTGATATAGGAAGCTAACTTTACTAAGTGGATCCACTAGCTTAATCTTAGGTGATCATCTAAAAAGTATGACCCATTAACTCCCATGTTGGCGCATGGTTCTTATGGAGAGTTGAGTTTATATGAACTCGTGCCCCCAATTCAGTGCTCAAGACTACTCCCAAAAATACTTAGCTCATAAGTGTTTTAAACACATCTTTCTTTATTTGAGATAATTACTCAAAACTTTGCCCGAAGGCTCACTTGGAAACAATGTTCCTTTTTCTTGAAAACTAGCCCAAAGGCTCTTTTGGAATCATAGTTCCTTTCTTACTCAAATGTAAAAACACTTGGAAACTTCTTTGGGAATACATAGTTCCCTAATACTTTTGAGAAATGAACTCAACTTTAAACTTTTAACTCAACTTGAAACTCTTAACTTAACTTGAAACTTGACTTAACTTGAAACTTGATCCTTAAAATGAAGTTAAAACATTCAACAAAGACTCTTAGAAAGCTTTAAAGACTTGCTTTGACTCCCTTCTTGAACTTCTAGACTCAACTCTTAAGTTCCCTTGACTTGGAACTAACTCTCCTTGAATTGGAATTTTGAATTCAAGGTGTTTGATCACATGATATGGATGAGTTCTTGATGTTTAGACATACCTTGGAGTGTTGGAAACAACTTGGGAACATAAGTACAATACCTAGGAACATGTATGAGGAAGTGGGGAATGAATGGGAAAACATGGCGCTCTGAGAGGCGCGGAGCGCCAAACCAGAAACTTCAGAGAAGACCTGCTGGCGCTCTGATGGGCGTGCCGCCCCAAGGGGGAAAGTTCAGATCCCCTCTTGGGGCGCGCTGACAGGCGCGACGCCCCACCCTTTTTCCCCGAAATTTGACTTTCCTCCTTATTTTTCTCCAACTCTAAACCTTCTACACCTCAAAGTTTACATCCCCAAACACTTAAAACCATAAACCTCTCAACATACTATAGATTCAACTCAGAAACATCACCCGAAACATACACCAAACCAACAAGAACTTCAACACAACACAACTACAACTTCAACGATTACAACCAACAACTTCAACAAACATATTCAATCTTTTCTCGAAATTAAACGAGCTTGGCGTGCGGGGGAAAGAACCAATCCAACACTATGAACTCACATACCTAATAGGGATCACCCCCGACGATCTTTTGATGAAATCTTGCTTCTTCTTCTCCTTTCTCTCCTTTTCTCTCAAGAACCCTAACTCTTACTCTTTTTAAAAAAGGAAAACTGATCACAAATCAGTCTTACAACTTAATATATATCCAAAGACAAGGCTAGGGAAAAGACCAAAATACCCTTACAAATTTCCGGACGGATTCCCTGCCAACTGCCCAACTTCCAAAGGGCATAACTTGCTCATACAAACTCGGAAACCAGCAAACTCGATGGCGTTGGAAAGATCATTCCACGAAATTTGCAAACATAACTGGAACAACACCTAGATCATCCTGAGCTAGGAGTTAAAACTGTTCAAAGTT